ATATATATTATGGTTTATATTTCGATGACGTTGACGGCGTTGACGTGTTTTCAACAGGGCATTCCCAATACCTCACTTCCTCCTCCTTCTTCGGTGGTGGACTTGGAGGACCTGGCGAAGGTACGGGACGGTACCCCTTTCGCTCGACCGATTTTCGGTGTATGTAGTCTCTTACTCGATCCATGTCTTAACGCTTGTAATCGAAACTTGCAATTGAACGAAAAAAGCTTTATATACTATCTATATACATTGCATATATGCACTGTCAGATCGGACATGTCACGTTTATACGTACACGTACCTCGATAATTGAGTTCCATACCCTTGCATCGTGCGTACGGCCACCATGGTTTGCAACTATAGCTAAAATTTTGCAATGATAATCACAAACCAGTACACGTTAATACGTACACGTTCGTACACACACGTTCATACATACACGTTTATACGTACACATTTATACGTACACGTTTATACATACATACATAGACAAAGAAATACATAAAAAAAATATGTGCGTTATAAGAATACAATGAAAAAATAATAAATTCCCTTTTATCTTGTGTGTGTGTACAATGTATGTATAAATACATATATATATATATATACATATTATTTAATAATTTTTACTCACAATCATAACATTTAAAGAGTGGTACAATTTCCTGTTTATATATAAGTGTTCCCTGTTTTTTTCAGGTGGCCAAATGGCTACATGCGTTCCATCAATCGCACCTATGACACCCGGAAAATTTGTGTGAATGAAATACCTGGTAAAATACGATTGCATTTTAATTTTACACATAGCAAAAATTATAGTATATTTATTATAAGTTTTAAATGCACTTACATTAAAATTGATATACTTTTAAGATAATTATGAAATTGTATTTTTTAATTATAACTTACGTTTGCTGAATAGTTTGAATCTCATCATGTTCTGTAGGGAATGTTATCCATTGTGGCATTATAGCATTTAATGCATGTATAATTTGAGGTATTGCTCCACTAATGGATGATTGACACATACAACTTAGGAAGTCCTGCCCAATTCTCCTCTGATAGGAACCTGAGCTTAAAAAGCTTAAAGTTGCTAAAAGCTTTAAAATAACAAAAAAAATTAATTTAAATATAACTATTTTAAAATATCAATGCTATAATAAATAATGAAAGCTGGTTTTACATTTGACAAGCTAATTGCAAACTTGCTACAACAGCAATCTAAAGCGTTCATTTCAAAATGCTTCAGATTGGCTG